CATGTTCCTAGTCAACAAAATTTTGCTAAACAACCTAGTCAACCAAGCAACTCCCTTTTTACCCAAACACTTCCAAGCTTCAATAGGGATATCATTAGGTCCTAAAGCCTTATTTGATTTCATCTTCTTAAGTGCAATCTCTACTTCAAAGTTCCTAATCCTGCGATAGAACCTATAGTCTTGGTTTATCGTATTACTGGCTATTTATTCCCTTATTGTCGTACCTTCATGTTCCTCATTTAATAGTTTCTCAAAATAATTCTTCCATCTTTCCTTAATCTCATCATCCTTCACCAATACCTTAGAATCCTCACTCTTGATGCACTTTACTTGATTAAAATCTCTTGTTTTCCTCTCCCGTATCTTAGCAAGTTTGTATACCCTCTTCTCTCCCTCCTTACTATCTAGTCTAGTGTATAGGTCATCATAAACTTTCAACTTAGTCTCTCTCACTACTTTCTTGACCTCCTTATTAGCCAATCTATAGCTCTTAAGGTTTTTCTCAGTTCTATCATTCTGCCACTTTTTAAAGCACTCTTTTTTTGCCTTAACTACCGCTTGGACCTCTTCCCTCCACCACCAAATTTCCCCAGAGCTGGGTCCCGTATGATTTTGCATTACAAATATACATAGTACACACATACACACACATGCATGCGTAGTGTGTATGTCTCTTCCAAGACTCTTATGATGTTTAAGTTGTTTGTGCTATTCTTGAATTTGTGACTTGTGAAATGATGAAGGATCCATGACAAGGTAAGCTACTCCTTAGAGATTGTGATAAGAAACATCACGTTCAGATGAGTTTCATTCTATAATCTGGAGATTTTCTCTAGAATTTCTATGTTTTCTTATGGTATGGAGTGAAGTTCTTTTTGTGTTCTTTTTTAGGATATTTAATCCATGTTTAAGTAAGCAGATGCCTCTGCCATAATTTATGGTTTTTTTTCTGTGGAAATAGAAAAAAATCTAATAATTTTAATCATTTGAATCTTTGAAGGTATGCACAACGGAGGAGAGATGCAGATATGTAAGAGTTAGTGAACTTTTTGTGTATGAGAAATTTAGTAGGGTTGCTGCAGAGGCTGTGGAGGCTGGTGATATCTGTGCTGTTTGTGGTATTGATGATATTCAGGTAGAAAAAAACTTGTTTTGCATTGATCAATTTTTTTCTCTCTAACGGTACTTGTGGAGGCTGGTGATATCTGTGCTGTTTGTGGTATTGATGATATTCAGGTAGAAAAAAACTTGTTTTGCATTGATCAATTTTTTTCTCTCTAACAGTACTTGTAAGATGAATATTTGTATCAATCATTTTCTTTGTTGAAATTGTGGTAACTGATTTATTTTTCTTAGATTGGTGAGACAATTGCTGACAAAATTTCTGAGAAGCCACTACCTGCCATTAAGGTGGAAGAACCTACAGTGAAAATGGCTTTTTCTATCAATACTTCACCTTTTGTTGGCCGTGAGGTATGTTGGTTTGTTTGTTTGTTTGTTTTTGTTTTGTTTTTTTTTTTTTGGGTAACAGGAGAGGTATGTTATTAAACTGTGACTTTGAAAATTTGTTCCCTAGTTTCACAATTTAGTACTGATTGAATCATCAAAACAATTTTATTCTCGAAGTTTGTAGCCATTGATATAGTAAGTCTTTACTGCATGATTCTCGTGTTCATGTGATATCTTCCTAATTCATGGGTCATGTCAAAAACAAGTTGGCAAATCTGAAATTCTCGTGTTCATCTGTTTCTGGATGGATCTTTTGTAATGTTACTTGATAATGATGCGACAAGCCCAGAGAATTTGCAACAGTACCTTACGCGTATTGTTGCATGTTATGAACAATATAAGATATTCTTGATACATTACATACTGTTTCATCCTCAAAACCTGCTATCACATTTCTTTTTCAACTTTACAAATTCATAAAATTTATATTAGGTCTGAACTTTTCAGTGTGCATCAGTGTCCTAAGAATAACAAAGCATGAATGCTTGAATCGTGCTATTGGAATCTCTGCATGAGTGAAGCTCAAGCCTCATGTTTTCTTAATTTTTAAAGCAACTAAATCTATTAGTGACTAATAGAGAACAAAGTTTTTTCTGGATAGAAGGGCACTTCTTGTTAATACGTATACGTTTAACAAATGCTACAGCAGTTCAAAGCAGTACTTTGATTGAGATTTTGGAAAATTAGACAGCATAGACACAAGAAAACAATTTTTCCAATTCATGCCAAGGCTAGAGCTGAAACATGCTACAGCCATCATGGTTCAAAGCCTCTCTCTTGGTCTTTGTCTAGGAGCAAATTGGTATGATTGGTCATGATGTGTTGACTCCATGTAGGGTAATACACTGCAATCGAGGTTCAAGAAAAGTAGAAAGAATCTTAACAAATTTAGAATTATCAAGCAAAATACAATGGATCCATAAAATAAATCAAATATACAATAAAAAAAAATATGACTGTAAAAAGAACATGAGGGCCACTCATCCACTATGATGTTAGTTGACAATTACATAATAAATATTGATGCAATCCAGAAATGTATATGGTGCAAAACCAGCAAAACAGAGTTATGGGACTCATCTAGAAACAGCTAATTTCTTATTTCTTCCTGGTTTGGTGGTTCCCATTCCTTATGTGTGTTTTAATCATGTTTTACTTCATTTTTCTCAATTTTTAACTCTTCTATTTCTCTCTGTGGCAATAAGAACCTAGCTGCTTCATGTGCCTTACTTAGGTTGTATTATCAACATTTGCAGTTAATAAGCATTTCCTCATTGTGGTCTGGCATTGACAGTTTGCTATTTTCAATGTTTGCTCTCAGGGAAAGTATGTTACTAGTAGAAACTTAAGAGATCGTCTCTATCGTGAGCTTGAGAAAATTTGGCCATGAAAGTTGAAGATGGTGAAACTGCAGATACATTCATTATTAGTGGAAGGGGTACTTTGCATATTACCATATTGACAGAGAACATGTAAGTTTTAAGTATAAGCTATGCTGCGAGTTCAGAACAATACAAATAAGAGTCACAGCATATACTGTCATGACCCGAACCCGACCCCATGGGTTAAGGATATAACCGGCCAGTAATCATAAGATTACCTGCGGCCTCAAGAATTAGCCCATTCCTTTTGCAGATATCAATCATGGCGTGGATGTGCTTTTCATGGGTCTGTTCATTTGGTGAAAATACAAGAATATCATCAATGTAAACAGCGATGAATTCTTCCGTGCCTTTAAAACAGACATCCATTTTTCGCAAGGAACTAATTCATCGAAAGAAGTTCAGACAACTAAATTCGGTATTTGAAGTTTGAGTCTGAAAGTCTAGTCTTGTAATCAAGTTTCAAAGTTTCCGCTGTGTAATACTAAAGTTCTGTAAGTTTTCTGTGGATTTGATTGGACTGAATTTTCCACTGGCATAAGCACAAATTCTTTCTGTGGAATGAGGATCTTTAAGAGCTTTCTTCCATTTGCATACTCCTCCCCATCCTTCCATGCAGCCGTCTGTTTCAAGGATGATGACACATCCTTCAGGAGGTACTGATAGATTGGGAGAAAGAATGTTTTGTGTCCCTTCATTTCCGTCGCCCATAGTTATGAGGTTGTTGAACTCAGTATCATACTTCATCCGCCATTGAGTCCAAATTAAACCCGGTGATGAGCATCATCCCTTCTTGTTCGATATAACACCTCAGCTGGTGCTATACTTGCTCTGTCGGCCATTGAGAGTTGTAACTGTGTTTCTGGTGCAATTTGTTGCTCCAACCAAACCAAACGTATTTTAACAGAGTTAATGGGGGCCAAACGGAAGCAATTTAAAACTTTGTCCATAGAGTTGTTGTGCTTACATGGCACATGACAAACCATACATATATATATACATATATTAATAACTCACATCAAAATATGTACTAACACAAAGCTCTGTACATACAGGATCATATAAGTCTAAGTCAATCAATCAAAACTATATACAAACGTATCCAAAGTCCTCTCCAATATGACAAAATGATATAAGGTAGCAAAAGGGCGAAGACGTGTCTCGTTCGTGAGACGTGAGGATTGACTCTTCAAAACCTTGGTTGTTTCACACAAATTTCATTGAGGCTGGGTTTGGACCTCTCTTGGCTCACCTACAAGCACATGAATGAGCGTGAGCGAAAGCCCAGTGAATAATATCAATTAAAGAAGATACATTGGAACAATATATACATTAGACGGCCTTAGGCCCAATTCATATTTCTATCTAGTAAGTGACTGTGGTTCCAAACACATCGGACGGCCTCGGGCCCAATCCATTCATGTCAAACTGGCCTTTGGCCCATTTGTCTTTCATTCATGTCAGACTGGCTTCTGGCCCATTCATTCTTTCATTCAGATCATACTGGCCTCTGACCCACTCATTCTATCATTCAGATCATACTGGCCTCTGGCCCATTCATTCATTCATGTCAGACTGGCCTTCGGCCCATTCATTCATTCATGTCAAATTAGCATTTGGCTCATTCATACTTTCATGTCAAACTAGCCTCTGGCCCATCCATTCATTTGTATCAAACTGGCATTTGGCCCATTCATTTGGCATAGTAAACATTGTCCACCATTCAAATTAATGGACTTATAAGACTTACATAGAAGTAAGTAATTGGACAAACAACATATTTCAAATATCTTTATTAAGATATTACTCACAGTGATCGGCTGGTTGATTTGCCCTGGAGCTTGACCCACATCACATTTTGGCCCATTTGTCTTTCATTCATGTCAGACTGGCTTCTGGCCCATTCATTCTTTCATTCAGATCATACTGGCCTCTGACCCACTCATTCTATCATTCAGATCATACTGGCCTCTGGCCCATTCATTCATTCATGTCAGACTGGCCTTCGGCCCATTCATTCATTCATGTCAAATTAGCATTTGGCCCATTCATACTTTCATGTCAAACTAGCCTCTGGCCCATCCATTCATTCGTATCAAACTGGCATTTGGCCCATTCATTTGGCATAGCAAACATTGTCCACCATTCAAATTAATGGACTTATAAGACTTACATAGAAGTAAGTAATTGGACAAACAACATATTTCAAATATCTTTATTAAGATATTACTCACAGTGATCGGCTGGTTGATTTGCCCTGGAGCTTAACCCACATCACATAACACATATGGGTCACAACCGATTCAATCCGTTTTTAATTTACACATTCCTCTTTAGGCTTCATTTTTGTCCCTTTAATTCATTTACAATGCTTAATGCATGCCTAAGAGTACTTAGGAGTGAAAGAGAACGGGAAACGAAACACATAATGCACTTTCAAAATTTTAGAAACAGGGGTCCCTGCTCGAGCGTGGACTTCCCTGCTCGAGCGGACCCCTGAGGCCTGCAAAAGTGCTGGTTATGTCATTTTTACGCTTGATCGTGAATTCTGGCGCTCGAGCGGAAGGCCTCACTACATGGCTCCCTGCTCGAGCGTGAACTTCTCTGCTCGAGCGAACACCATGCCTGCAAAAAAATACTGGAAGCCCAAATTTTACGCTCAAGCGGCGGTTCTCCCGCTCGAGCGGACATCAAATTTTCTGGGTTTTCCAGAACTTTTTCTTGAGCTCAAACTTGAAATTCAAAGGCTCTAAATACATGATTTTGGCTCAAACTCCACATATACATGTACTAACATGGTACAAACACCAATTTACAACATTATGAAGCTCAATTCCATGAATTACCTACATGCATGTTCCAAATTACACCAAACTTGTTTCCATCATAACAATTCCATGTATTTCAAACTCATATTCTCATGGATGGTACATGCATGTGGAACACAACTTTTGTTCTCAACTTAGATGATGAAGAGATGGTCAAAAACATGAGCTTCAACTAAAATCTTACATGGATCATACATTTTGTGCTCAAACATGCAAATTCAAAGCAATTACACACATGCATGCATACATTGACCTTCAATTCAACATGATCAACTCAATTTCATTTCAATTCTTACTCTTGATTACCCAACTAGCTTGAATACACAATTTACAAACTTATACTTTTGAATTCATGCTCACTTGCTTACCTAGAGGTTCAATTCCTTCAATCTATAGCAAATTCTTGAGTAATCTTCAAGATTTCCAAGCTTTCAAGATCAAACTTCAATTGTGAGCTCTCCCTCTCTCTAAGCCGACCCTTTCTCCTTTTCTTAGAGTTAAATCAGCCAAGTTGAATAAAAGAGAGAAATTAAGTGTATATGGCCCTTTATATAACCCCACTAAATCAAATTATCAATATTAAATAATTGAGCACTTAATTAATCGTTTTGAATCTAATTATTTTGATCCGAATCAATTTTTAATTAAATTTCACCGTAGGCTCTAAAAATCACGCTAGTCACAATGGCGTAGTCAATTTCGGGTTTTGTGGCCGATAAGGCCTTCAATTTAAATTCCAAAGCAGATAATCAAACAGATATTCTTACGATGAACAGATAGAAATTCAAAATCACATATTTTCACATAATCAAATTCATGATAAGGACCAATTAGCATAATAAGGAACAGGGTTATCACATATACATAGGTGCCGATCCCGCGGACGAAATTTTCATGAAATGACAATAATAGTGCTTGTACAGCCTACGTTTATATAGGTGCCGATTTACGGTTTCTCGCAGACGAAATTTCTGTGAAAGGTTGATATTGTTTTGAGATTCCCAAAGTGTAATTCACTGCCCTGTTTCTATTGTAAAGGAAGTGACTTATGAATTCTGGTATAAAGCTGGCATTACATGGTTTTTGGAAAAAGATATAAAATGTTTTGACACAAGCATTGCGTGTATATTTCACCCTTATATCTTTGTTAAGATTTATATATTGTGTTGGATTATTTCTAATGGGTTTTGGCTTACCCTATGTGAGAAAATATTTTAAGTACTGATGATATGCCTCTGCCAAGACAATAGCTTGGGAAGACTTGGAGCAAGAGCTTTATTTTGTTGGTTCTTTTATGTATGTTTTGTACAAGTCAAGGGCCTTTAATTGTATTGGACTTGAAATTCCACTTTTGCTGTAGTCGATAACTGTCTTGGAAAGTTGTAAGCGTTTAGAGCATTTATTATCTGTTTTTACTTTCACATCTTACCTCTTGTTGTAACATATGCTATAAATTCAGGGTTAGACTTGTGAATTTATATCTGTGTAGGTCACCTTTTTGTACAAAAAATCAGAATAAATGAAAGATAATTATTTCATCGCATGTTATTATGAAATTACTATTATGGATGAGTTATTGTATTTATTTCGAGGCATTGCACTCAGAGTGATTTACAAATAAAATTTAGATATATAAAGTGCATCTAAAATAGTGTGGAAGTGGTATGTTTCTAATTATAAGGCATAATAGTGAGTATTTTAGTTTGAAATGAAAAAAATCATAAAATGACATATCATTCTGTATATTGAATTTTTGTTAAAAGTTTTAATTATATAGCATTACTCTTTCCGTCGTAAGCCATGTGAATTTCCTATCATTGATATGGCCAGGAGCAGAACTATGTTGGGCTCGGCCCCCTACACAAAAAATATATATAAAATTTATCAAAAATAAAAAAATAAAAATAAAGACCTTTTAGTATTTGATTCTTTAGAATAATAGTGAAATAAAATGATAATTCCATCAAAATATTCATTTCTATTTTTGATTTAACAAAAAATAATAAAAATTAAATTACAAATAAAATACCATTCACCATTACAAGTAAATGTCATTTTATACAAATGCAAATAAAATTACAAATAATCATCCTTCCATTCCATTTCATTTCACTTCTGTTAACCAGGTGTCATGTTTAGTCTTCTACTTTACTAAAATTGTAAAAGCATTCATTTAAAAAGAAAGCTCAAAATCAATTACGCTAGACAACTTTTTTAAAAGATCATTTATATATATAACAACTGCATGGTTATTTGAGATTCGTCTTT